CAGAACAAGCTGTTCGGTGCTTGAGCTAACGCATTCGTTCTAAAACCAAACCACGAATTGGCTCCTGCAGCAACGTGCTTCGTTTTAGCGACCAATTCTTGGCTCTGACAACTTAATCTTGGTCCTGACAACAAATTAGTAGTTACCTCAACAATTTTTTGATAGATTGTCACGAAATTAACTAATATTTAGTTCTGACGACCAATTTATTTTGTCCGTGTAAGCCCAGTGTGCAACTGCTGAAGACTTTTAAGTGCACACCTGCAAGTTGAATACAAACCGATACCTACAAGGAAGACACACGTACTTCTGGGCCCTCAGGACAGACTCACGTACTTCTGGGCCCCCAGGACAGACTCACGCAGTTCTGGGCCGTGCATGCATATCCACGTAGTTCCCTTAACCTCAAAACTTACATCTAAAAGAATGCCTCTTGCCGTTTGTAGGTGTGACCAATTGATTTATGGGTGGTCTTTTATTAAACCCTGCTTACATAAGCAGTTGATCCACGAAATTTACTTGCTGTACAATTAGTGGCACACTGTGTATTTAATGCTGCTTTAGAGGCTATGGAACTACGTGTTTATTGCATTGGGCATCAGAACTACGTGAGTCTACCTTCGGTCCTCGGAAGTACGTGAGTCTGTCCTGGCGGCCCAGAAGTACGTGTGTCTTCCTTGTAGGTATCGAAACATTGCCCAATCTAGTGGAATGTTCAACAGAGAGGTTACACACTTACAAGTGCACGCACAGCTACTGAGGTTCGAGTTAAGTGCAGAACTATACTTGCAGGTAGTCAGCTTGCTATTGCACACTTGGTTATCAGTTTAGCTAACACTCTTATAGTTCCTCACAAAGCGCTTATCCCTAACGCAAAGCACGCACGACGCTCAGCCGCTTGCGAAAGCACGCAGGGCGGAGCGCCGCTGGCGAAAGCACGCACAGCCGAGCGCCGCTGGTGAAACCACGCACACCGCAGAGCCTCTGGCGAAACCACGCAAGTGCACTTTTTGGTGATTTTTGGAGATATATACCGTTGGAAAGAGGAAATCACGCTCTTTCAGAATATATAGATATCTCAATATTTTTGAAAAATGCACTTGCGTGGTTTCGCCAGTGGCTCTGCGCTGTGCGTGGTTTCACCAGCGGCGCTGCGCTGTGCGTGGTTTCGCCAGCGGCGCTCCGCCGTGCGTGCTTTCGCCAGCGGCGCTCCGCCGTGCGTGCTTTCGCCAGCGGCTGAGCGTCGTGCGTGCTTTGCGTTAGGGACAAGCGAAAGAGCAGTCTTAAGACGAATTGCGTTTGTAACGTAAAAACGTTAACAATTCTTCTTAACTTCTAAACGATCCCACGGTTAAGAAAATTTAGTC